CCTCAGAGTGTGGCGTCATTTGGACACAGGGCCTTTACAGCTGTGAGTAGTGAGCAGGCAGTCGTCCCAGACAGGGGAGGGCCCCGTAAGAACGGAGGCATGCGTGCTGAAGCTACTAACCGGAAGGCGTGCGTGCAGACGCTGCTAACCGGAAGGAGTGCGTGCAGACGCTGCTAACCGGAAGGAGTGCGTGCAGACGCTGCTAGCCGGAATTGGGAGCTGGAGTCCACCCACAGGCGCACGGAGGGGCAGGCCTGGGGATGAGCTTCAGAGAGAACCAGCCACTGACAGCTGACAGCCCCGGGGAGCACAGTCCTGACAGACGTGCGGGCCCAGCGCTGGTGTCGACCGCCGCTGGCTGGACCTTTTTGGTTTAGAAGAGACGGGGGGACGAGGGCCACATGATGACAGCAGAAAAGGACGCGGGGAAGCAGCTCCAAGCCGAGGACTGCCAGCGTCCACCAGGAGCAGGGAGAGCCCGGGACGGATTCAGCCCTGCCCACGCCGTGACTTCAGACAGCTGCCCTCCGGAACCGTGAGAGAATGAGCCGCTGCAGTTCCAGGCCGTTCAGTTGAGGGAGTCTGATACGGCAGCCGCGGAAAAGGAATCCACTAGCCGCCTTTGCCCGTCCTCCCCGCAGGCCCCTGACTCACGCAGCCCACGCCACCCCACTCCGCTTCTCAGCCGTGTTGGAACTAACCCGTTGGGGGTTAGTTCAATGCATAAACAGCACGTTTCCAGAAAGAATAGCCTAAAGTTAGAAGAGCCACGTCCTGTCACTCAGCTGCAACCCTTTCTGCTGTCCGGCTTCGCAGAGAATGGCTGGGTTCCCGTTGCAGCATCTGCATTTGCTCTGTTGCCATAGGTGGTTTGGTGGGAGGAAGTCCGGCCTCACAGAGGCCCGTGGCTGGAGAGGGAGGTCACTGAGGTGGCCCTTTTGGATCACTGTGGACCTTACTCTGGGCTCCACCCCAAACCCCAGCAAGCAGTGCCCCGTCCAGGTGGGCCACTGGGGGGGCTCCAGACGTCTCTGCACGCCTCACACTTGCCGCAGGGAATCGTCACTCCCTCGTGCTCTGTGAATGGGTCTTTGGCCCACGTGTGGTGTCGTGACATGCGTGTGGTGCTTGGAGAAATGGAGCCATGCAGACCTTCATGTCACCTGTGACCAACACTCACATTCCTGCATCCCCACGGAGCTGGCGGCGAGGACCTGAAGGGCCGGGGAGCCGTCTCGCTGGCGGTGGCAGGGGCAAGTTGCCCAAAGTTCTGACTTTCACTGGGCAGCTGAAATGTTGCACGGGCAACAAAGACGGATGGTGGTTTTCCTGGACGTGATGGTCTCTTGGTCCATCTTTGAGAAAGTGACTGCCAGGCGTGTGAGTCTCTGTGGACACAGCGCCTCCTGTGTGAACGTCACCCAGGAAAAAGGCAGGCCCTGCTCAATGGGATCACAAACATCGCTCAGAACCTTGGCCCCCCAAAGGGTCGTGGGAGCCCAGGGACAGGCGGACCACGCTGCTCAATGTGTAGGTTCGTGCTCCATTGCAGTGTCACAAAATTCTAGCAGCTCCTGTGTGCTGGCCAGCACCCCACTTGGACAACATCAAGCGCTCTGCTGTCTGAAGTTGCATGAGGGAAGACCCTCTCAGCTTCATCCCATGAAGTCCTGCGTTTCCACAGCTGCCTCTCTCGCAGTCACACTGTGTAGTTCTGGGCTAACGTTCCCTCCGTGTGTGTGGGGCTTGTAGTGACCTTTCTCCAAATTCAGAGCCAGCCCTCTCAGCGCCGCCCCACCCCCATGACCTCTCCCACCATCCCTGGTGTCCCCTCTGCCAGCACCGCCTCCCCCAGGTCACAGGCAGTTCTCTGTTCTGTCCCCGGCTGTCCTGGGCTGGGGCCAGGGTGCTGGCTACAAGGCTGAGAGAACATCTCAGGGCAAGACCTCTGGGAAACGAGGTATCTTGTAACACGTTACTTAAAACTGGGGAGAAATCCCTTCCCATGGGGCATGGGAAGTTACTTTTGCCACTGGCCCTGCGGAGGCCAAGGCCAGCAGGGGAGAGCGGGGGAAGGGCACTGGAACCCACACTGGGTCAGGGACAGCCTGAAAGACACACTTGTCCTGAGGACAGAGATGGGCCTTGTTCACGGGATCTTTGCCGGAGATGGAGCTGGCATGCAGGGTGCTGGCTGTCGACCCTCCTGCCAGTCAGTCTGGACCACTCTCCAGGGGTCTGGGTTTTCAAGCTTAGCAGTTCAGGAAGCTCTGAGCCCCTGCTTCCTCCTGGCCCGGTCAGACCCTGCCTGTCCCTCCCCTTCCTGCTGTGTGGACCAGCCCCCACCCCAGGGCCAGATCTCCTGCAGCCCAGACCCCACCGAGTCAGCCTGTGTGGAGGGGCGGCCAGTGGGGATGAGAAGTTGAGGACACACAGCAGACAGGTGAAATTGCATTCAAATCTCAGGCACTCCGCTCAGCTCCGGACCTCAGGCAGGTGACCAGGCCCTTGAGTCACTGCTGAGGGCACATGTGCCAGGAGGGGCACCCACACCTGGCCTAGGAGGCCTGGTTGGTGACCTCACGCCTGGGGCAGGTGGCCAGGCAGTCTGGTGACCTTGGACCCATCTCAGTCCATAGGCTGATGGGTCCCCCCCAGCTCTTGGGAGTGTCCCAGGAGGTGGTGGAGAAGCCCCTTGGAGGAAGCGGGAACAGAAGGGCCCAGAGGCCTGAGCAGATGTGACCAGAGCCCCTCAGAGGCAGCCCAGGGCCTGCTCAGACCACCCAGGAGATAGTGTAGGTAGATGGAGAGGGGGGCAGAGCAGGTGGGGCGGGGGGATGGGCTGAGCCAGCCTGGATGCAGGGACCCTCCGAGCCACCTGCTCTGAATGAAGGCGGAACCCTGCTGGGGGTGGGGCCCTCACTTAACCTGCAGGTCCCAGACAGGCCTTGGGCAGCGGGCACCCCTTTCATAGGTGGAGGCTGGGCAGGGCTTGGCTGAGGAGGGCTTTGCAGGGTGGGAGCTGGGCTGTGTCATCTGTCCTACTAGAGGTTCCTGACTAGCCAGGTCTGTGGGTTGAGAGGAGGGATGGAGGGAGGGCCAGGCCAGCACCCCTGTTCCTCCCTTTTCTATTTTGGACCCATCTCCACATCTGCAGAGGCAGTTGGGGTGATATGGGGCTCCCCAGGGCTCGGGAGCCTGGGAGGCTCCTTTTCTGGCCTGCGGTAGGCGTGGTTGTCCAACACTGGTTGTGGGGCAGAGGGCACCAGGTCCCAGACACCCAGCTGCCCTTCATTGGGCATCAAGGTCCCAGGGTTGCCTGTCCAAGCCTGAGTTGGATCTTCAAGACCACCCTGGCTGGGAGGCTGACCCGCCTCATGACCTGGGCCTCACCACTCTGGTCCCTGCCCCTGATCAGGCACAACTGCTCTCTAGGTCCTTCTTCCTGTGCCTACTTCTGCGGACCCTGGAGACCCCAGGACTGACCACCCCTCCAGCACTCTGTCCAGGGTTGGTCCTCCCCATACCCTGCTGGGTGCTAGCCCCCCCGCCAACCATTGCAACACTCAAAGCTGCCAGCAGAGGGCACCAAAGGCCACTTCCAAGATGGGGCACCTGTGAGCTCAGGTAGGCACTGGGCAGACAGGTGGACTGCCACCTGGCACAGGTGCAGTGTAACCTCCTGTTCACTCCTGTGCTACTGCCACCCAGTTGACCCAGGGCCCCACACCCTCCTCTGGGCATCTGTGCCAGCTTGGGGTTAAGCTCCCTAAATCTGGTTTCGGCTACACCTCTGACTCATGCCTACACAGGTGCTGGCCTAAGGCTGTCCCAGACCTGGCTGCCACTCCCACTGGGACAGGTGCTCACGAAGGCCAGCCTCAGGACAGGCTTCTGCGGCCCGAGAGCCCCCCAATAGGCACATGTGTGCAGGGGTCTTGTGGCCCCCTCCTCTGGACTCAGGCATGAGAAGCCTTGCTCCAGACATCCACAGTCCAGCCTCCACATGGCCTGCCCTCAGCCACACGGCCCCCTCAGCCACACAACCCTTACAAGGCTCTGCCCCAGGAGGAACAGAGGGCTCCAGGACCTAGTGACCCCCAACCCCCAGACAGACACGTGGCTGCTAGGAGACATAATAGGTTTAATAACACGTAGTCTTGGAACTTCGACCATCTCTTGTCTGTGTGTGTGACCCTTGGCGTCTGAGTTCCGAGGCCTACCTGAGCATGGTGGAAGGGAAGGCCTCCTGGGTTCTGTGGGGAAGGGTTTGGAGCCAGTACAAGAGGGGCAAGTGTGTGTCCATCCTGCTCCTCCAAAGCGTAAGGGGAGACAATGTGCCCCGCAGAGTCACACTGAAGGCCTCCTGTCCAGGAACCCCTTCCCCAGCTGCCCAGGGAGCCAGTGTTCCTCATGGCGGGTGCTGTGGGCTAACAGGAGTCACAGCCAGTCGCCTAGCCTGCTGGGAGCCCAACAGGGAAGGGGCTGAGGAGCCCCTAGAGACACAGCTGTCCTGGGGTATGGGTGTGGAAGGGGGCAGCTGGGGATGGGGGTGCAGGGTCAGGGTCACAGGAATGCCCTGTGGGCAAGGGGTGCCTGGAGGAAGGGCCCTACTGACCCCCTGGGGTGCTCTGCGGCTCCAGGCAGAGGTGTGGGCAGGGGGAGAGGGTGTGTGTGTGTGTGTGTTCAGGGGGCAGAAGCATGAGCAAACGGGGACGAGGGCATGGGGAGGGGGAAGGAGAGGCTGGCACCTCGAGGTCACAGGTTTGGCTGAGGCAGGCCTTGTTGAGGGCAAGCGATGGGGCCTGGCTGGGCCACCTGCCAGGCATCGCTGGGCCCGAGGGCAGGCTGAGTGTTTGAGGCAGGTGGGAGGCTTCTAGCCAGGTTCAGGGTCCACGCAGCACCCCACCCTACCCATGTCCTTCGTACAAAATACATGCACATAGAAAAATAATACTCCACGAACTCGGGTGGGGCAGTGTGGACCGTCCGGCCGCAGTCTAGCTGTCCTCGTCTATCCCCCGCTGGTTCTTGGAATGGAACTTGTTCATGAGTTCCTCCAGCTCCGACCCACCCTGCTGCTTCTGGGGGGGGGGGAGGGGGGAAACCACAGTCACGGTGCGGCCCAGCTGCTCCCCACCCCTGGGGAGCCGCGACCAGGCGGGAGGGGCAGAGGGTGAGGCTCACCTCCAGAAAGGCCTTCTGCACGGTCAGCTGGCTGTACACGCGGATGCCTTCCTCCCCGCACACCTTCTTCAGTTCCTCCTTGTTCAGTGAGAAGAGCTGGGGCCCCGTCAGGATGCCCAGCTGGTCCACGATCCTGAGCGGGGCCCAGGGCGGGCGTGAGCAAGGGCTCGCACAGTCTCGGGCTGTGGGCGTAGCCGTCCGCCCCGCCCCGCCCCGCCCCTGCCTGCGGCGCCCCGCCCCCCCGCCCCGCCGCGCCCTGCTCACCGCGGGCTGAAGGCCTTGGCTACCAGCCAGGCACGGACTTCGTCGGGGCCCGACTCAAAGGTGAGCGGCAGGTGCACGGGCTGGCTGCGCTCCACGCGGAAGTGCCGCTGCGGCTGTGCTCGGATGTGGCTGATCTTTTTGATGAGCTCGTCATTGACCTCGTCCATGTGGTGGATGACTTCTGCCGGGGACGCCAGGGGTCAGATGGCCCCTTGGCTGACAGCCCCAGGGGTCTCTGGCCTCCAGGTCTTGCTCCCATCCCAGGTTTAGAGGGTCCAGGGCCTCCCCTCCCCTGCCTCCCCCAGCAGGTGCCGTGGGTCCTGCTGGCTCCATTCCTCAGGTCAGACGCTGTCTCTCACCATCTTTGTTCCCAGCGAAGTTTGGGGGCAGCTTGTGGGTGGGGCTGGCAGGACCCCAGTATTTCAGAGCAGCCTGTGTGGTGAGCAGAGGTGGGGGCCGAGTCAGCACGGCTTATCATCCTCCTTCCATGCCCCTGGAGGTGCTGGCCAGGCCGTGCCCTCCCTGGTTCCCCCCTCAGGAGGTCCCAGTGTCGTGGTCAGCCAGACCCTGGTGGGGGACAGGCAGCCCCTGTCCAGGCTCCCCTGCTCACCGGTTCTAGGGGGACGCCAGCCTCCTCTGGCCGGACCTCGTTCAGGATGTTGCTGGGCACGTAGCCTGCCTGCCCGCTTCGGTTCCGGAGTTTCCACCACTGCCGGCCGTCTTCTAGCACCTGCCAGGCCGCCCGCACGCTGTCATGGCCAGACCCACTCACCCAGCCACCCTCCTGGCATGAGCCCCCCATTTAAGATGGGCCAGAAACCCATCCCCAGAATGGGCCTCGGAGGGTTCCAGCCCTGTCCAGGCCCCTCTGGCCCGGCCCTCCCTTTCCACCTGCACCCCGCCACCCCGACCCCTGGCAGCCTCAGCAGGGTCTCTGTCACAGACTCCCAGGACCAAGGTGCCTCTTGGCCTGGTTGTGGATCTAGATCACCAGCCCCCCCAGTCTGCTCCACTTTCTGTCCCCTAGCAGCTGGCCTGGATATGGAGGAGAGGCCGCTGGGGTGGGGGCACATGATTAGCCCCTGCAGTTCTATGTGAGGGGCCACCACACCCCAGAGGCTGCCCACCCCCCAGCCAGAGCTCAGGCTGGTCCTGGGCCCCCTCTGGACTCCCAGCATGGGAAGGCCCCTTCAAGCTGGCCATGCTGGGGGTGATCCAGATTGGACCCTGGGACAGGGACCCTGGGGAAGGGATTGGGCGAACACGCTGCTGTCAGGGAGCCTGCAGCCACCCCCAGCCTGGGCAGCCCCCTGCCCCCGGCTCCCGGCTCCCGGCTCCCTCACCTCCAGGACCTCATCCTTAAGCACGGACAGCTCGTTGGCATTCCGGGCTGTGAAGTCGTAGAGGACCTTCACATATCTACCCATGGTGGGCGTCCTGCTGGGCACAGGAGAGGCTGAGGCCCAGGGCCGCCTGGCTGGGAGGGCGCAGCCGGCTCTGTCCAGCTCTGGGAGGCGGCGGCAGAGAGGCTGCCGCTGACAGCCAGGAGTGGAATCTGTGACAGCTCCGGTTCATCCGGGGCCCTCCTTAGAGGGGGGAGGGTGATGGGCGGGCACAAGGTGGGCGGGCTGCAGGGGCCCTTGGGCCCAGGCCACCTCAGGGGTGGGAACCAGAGCCAGGCAGGAGCCTGAGAAATGACAGGTCACACCCCCAGGCCAGCTGACCCACAAGGGTAAGGACGTATAGAGAGCTCTCCCGGTGCTGAAGACCGTGCATACGTGCACCTGCACGTGCACACACAGCTGTCCTCTGTGGGGCTGGACCCTGTCCTGCAGAGGCATGGGGGCAGGGTGGCCTGCACAGGGCAGGTTGCCGGCTGCCACACCGGCTGAGCTTCCTTATCCAGGTGAGGCCCCAGTAGGCCCTGGTGGGGGCTGAGGCATGTGGACAGGGACCCTGTCACCCAGGTCCCTGACTAGGGACTGTCAGGTTTGGCCTGGGGTGGACAGGGCTGGAAGTCCAACGGTAAACACGCCTCTGAAAGTGTGGTCCTAGGCCTGGGACCACAGGCACCAGGTTGACAGCGCAGGGTGAGGGGGGCACTTTTAAAACAAGGATTTCAGCCCCCCTCATTTGTGGAATGCAAATCCTGGGGTCTATCCCACAGGGTACCAAGCTGCCTGGATAGTTCCTAGGCTAGATTAGGAAAAGAAGAGGGGAGGGGCGGGACTCCCAGCCCTTGGTTTTGCTCTTTGTCCACTGGGACATGTCTGGGAGTGGTGTGTGTGTTGGGGGCAGTGGTGCATTAGACCTGCCATCAGCTAAATCAGTCTGAGCAGCTCTAACAGGGAGACAGTGTTTGGTGAAGCCATTTAAATTCCATGGTTTAATGAAGTCCTGACCTTGACTATAAAACCTAAACATGGAAACACGTAAAATGAAGAAACCTGAGGGTGATAAGTTTATGGAAGATTGTGAAATTTTTCCTTCGTTTGTACATTATAGACTTAAAATGAAAACAGGGTTAGTTTGGAAAACTGGTATTTTGAACCTATTCAAAAAGGCACTTACGCCACCTGGTGGCAGCATATCCAAATTACAATCTTGTGACCTGAGGAGTGAGCTTCACACTCCCTCACTTTGAGGAGGCTTACCTGTGAGCACGGGGGGAGCCAGCTGGTGGCAGGACAACGTCTCCTGGGGGGGCGGGCTCAGATGTAAGGTCGTGCTTCAGGGACTTTCGGAAGGATGGTCGGCTTACTGGAGTCGGCTGTGGGAAAGGTGGGCGGCCTGATGTGGGGTGGGGGTGTGCTGGGCTGGGTCTCGGGATGTGGGGGACTCAAGACAGAAGCTTGATGAATGTGCTGTGACTGAAAGACTGGACAGGAGGACATGGCCCCCACCATCAGCCAAGTGAGATGAAGGCACCACCTTGCGGGGGGGGGGCAGCCTGAGGTATAGCTGCAGGGACATCGGGGCAGCAAGGGTGCTGCTGGGGGGTGGGACAGAGGGGGCCAGTGGCCAGGCAGGGTGGGTGGGGATGGCAGGGCTCTGACCTCGTCATGAGGGGCAGCTGCCAGCCCCTCCACCTCCCAGGGGGCCTCCTGCAGCACGTCCAGGGGCGGCTCCCAGCCGCTGTGGAACTTGGGCACATACAGCAGTACCTGCGGCTCCCGAGGCCACTCGGCGCTGGGGACGGAGGTCTGGGGGTGAGCCGCACCCTGCCAGGCCCACCTTCCCAACTGACCCCCTCCAAGAAACCCCACCCGGTCCACACCCGGTCTAACCCACACCACTGTGCCTAGGCTGGGCCCTCTGCCTGCCCCTGCTCTCTGCCTCACTGCTGTACCGGGGACGCGTCCAGGTCTCGCCCAGCATCTCCCACAACGCCATCTCCTTGGGGACCAGGTGGCCTCGTAGGAAGCCCACCGCTTCCCGGGACAGCAGAGGGCTGGAGACTGAGCGCGCGAGGTCTGGGCCGCCACAGGTGTTGACGATCTGGGGCACAGAGGGGCTTAGAAGAGGCCCCGCCCACCAGGCCCCGGCTCCCACCGCCCTCAACCCCCATCTGCAGCGCTGACACTCGCCTTTGAGGGGAGACTGGGGCGTGTCAGGGGCGGGACTACTGCTTCCCCTGCGGAGTACGTAAGCACCTCCCCCGCCAGGGCCCAGCCACCCCGCTCCTCCGCGCATGCCCCGCCCCTCCCCGCGCGCCCCGCCCCGCCCCGCCCCCCAGCCCCAGGCACCAGATCCAGAGGCCCGAAGAGGAAGTGCAGGAGCTCCGCGGCGCTGGGGTTCTGGATGTGCTTCTGCAGCTTGGCCTGTGGGGGGCGAGCGTGAGCGCGCGGGGCCCGCCCCCCGCCCCCCGCCCCCGAGGTCAGCGCCGAAGGACCGGGCTCCGCACTCACAAGCAGGTTGATGGCCAACTTGGTCTTCTGGAAACAGTCGAGGAACTCGCCTTCCGAGGGGGGCCGCGCCCGCAGCGTCAGGACGCCCTCTGCGCGCGGAACGGGAGAGGGACCCGTGAACCAGGCCGGTTCCCCGGCCCCTGGGCTCTGGCGCGGCCGCCCCGTTCCCCCCGCGGCCCCGCCGGGTCTGCCGCACCTGCCGGCCCCTTCTTGCCCTTCTTCTTGCCCTTCTTTCGCTGGTTCAACTGCTTGAAAGCCTCGGCCGCCTTCTGCAGCCGCGCCACGAACCACTCGATGTCGTCCAGGGCGCAGTTGAGGATTTGCTGCGTTCGGAGCAGGGGCTGCGGTCAAAACCCGCCCCCTGCGCTGCACGCACGGGCTGGGCCCCTGGCCTGGGGGTGAGCGAGCGGGGCGGGGCGGGCACCCACCCCTCTCTGCCGCCCACCAAGCCCTCGCGGCCGCCCACCGTCTCCTTCTCGATCTTCTGCGCCAGCACGGCCCGTGGCTCCTCATCCAGCGACTCCCGACGGCGGAAGCCTGGGGCGGGGAGAGCGCTGCTGCTGCTGCGGCCGGAGACCAGGTAGGTCCCCGGACCTCAGCACAGCGTGTGCGCGGGCGTGGGCTGCGCCCGCCCTGCCTGCCCCTTCGGCCCTACCTGGCTCGCTGAGCGGCACCGGCGTGCCCACGCGGTTCTTCGTGGCCTGGGACGAGTCCCCGCCATAGCGGTGGAAGGGGATGGGGGCCGGGCCCTGGGGCTGGGGGAGGATGGACTGCCTCTGTCGGATCTTCTCCTGGTGGCCCCTGGAGTGCATCGAAGGGCTCCTCAGCCTGGTCCGGTCCTATCCCTTGACGGGTGCCTGCTCAGCCAGGCCTCCACACCCCCACCTGACCCCTGACCCCACCCAGCCAGCCTGGCCCCGTCTCTGACTGACCCTCCCCACACTCGGCTCAGCATCAGCTCCACATCTGACGCCTGCCACCCAGCCTAGCCCCCCTCGCCTCAGCCCAGCCCCGGCCCATATGTGACCTCGCCCATCCAGCCCGGACGCACTCCATCGTGGACCCTCCCACCTACCCTAGCCCC